CCCCGCAACAGCGAGCCGCCGCACGCCCCGTTTGCGGGGCCGACGGAAACACCTACAAGAGTGCCTGCCACCTGCGACTTGCCGCCTGCCGCGCAGGTCGCGCCATTCCCGTCGCCTATAAGGGCCACTGCAAACGTGAGTCTCCTTTTACTTCTTTCTCCTCCTTTCTTTATCTTCGTTTCGTCGCTCAACTCCGCCACCTTCGTCGATCCCCCGACGTTCTTCTTTCTTCTCCCTCTTTTTTCAAGCCTTTCTCTCTTCCTCCTGTCACCTCGTTCCCTCTTCTTTTCTACCTCACACCCCCGTGACTGCGCGGACGCACCGTTGTTTCCGTCGGTTGCACGCGCTCTCTCTTTTCATCTCGCCCCGTCTCTCTAGCCCCTGTGTTTGCCTTTTCTTCGCCTTCTCTTTTCGCCTCTCTTTACCGTCTCGTCGTGGCCTGCTTTTTAGTCGGTTTTTCAGCACAGCGGTGCGCAACCATCGGTTCCAGGGCAGAGAAGCCTCGCGGGGAAATCGTAAATATCCCACGGGAAACAGTGGCGAGCGTCCGATAGAGAGATCCTCGTAATGGGAAAGGTTTGTCGTAATGACTGCTCTGTTGAGAGGGGAAAGGGAAAGGATAGGGAAGGCTGTTGATCGATCGAATGTTTCATTGATCTTGTCAAAATGATCAATTTTGTCATTTGCGCAGCTATGTCATTTTCGTATTGTCGAGAATTTTTTAGTCCGCGAAGTTTATTTTATATTGATTGTTGTGGAATGCGTTAATGTTGACTCCTGTTGAGATAGAAATACGGCTAGACGTGTTTATTTATTTCCTATGTAACATTTTACCTCTGATCCTATGGAGAGATAGTTAATTAGATTATTAGATTATAATTAGATTATCGATAAGTATCATACGATACTTCCTTTTCAATTTCGTTTTGATAGATTGTTTTGAAATGTATCGCTGAATTCCAATTAAAATGATCATTAATCACAAATTGATCGCAATCTTTTTACGTGTCTTGTATTCATCTAAGTTCCTCGTTTATTATTTTGATATAAATTGTAGATTTCTTCTGTTCGTTTTATTATTGCGCTTTTGTATTTTGGATTTTACCTTTGATGAGCGTGAGATTAATGTCAGAGGATAAATTTCTGTGCGAGAGAGCTCGAATACGTTTTGCGCTTTCTTTCGAAGGCACTACCTGTTGCTTCTCATGTAAAAGAGTGATTAAACGCAGGAAAACGGGTGTAAACTGCAGGGTGGCTTTTATATGGCCCGATGCAACTGGTGAATAAGAATTTTTTTAATGCAAACTGAGACCAACGTTGGAATTGAACGGTGATGTCACAGCGTATTTTTTAAGACTACGTTCTGTTTTGGTTAACGACACGAAAAATCGAGGTACATATTACGGAGATAAACATTTTTAATATACACGATTCTTATATCTCTACGCACGCGAAATACACGTGAAAATCTTGCATTTAATAAAGAGAATATTTATAAAAATATGAAGTACTGTGTATAGCGTAATTTAATGCAGATAATTATCCGATATACAAATATTACTTAAATTACAATAATTATTTATATCCTGGTATATAGAACATATAGTAAATAAGAGAAAGATTAAACAGATATTGGATAGATGAAAAAAGGATCAATCGATAATTTCATATCTCTCGGATTATGACTAATTCATAAATTTTAATTGCACCAAACGTATAATATTCTCTTATCAACTCTACATAATTTCAAATGTTTATTACAAAGATAAATTCTATATGAAGAATTTACGAAGATATTGAATATATACCTATAATGATAATTATCATGAGATAATTGAAATACTCATTAAGAAATTAATGGATCGTATTTATATAATCGTAGAAAACGTAATTAATAATTTTGTACGAAAAGGAATAATATTTCTTGAGCTAGAAACGAACGCGGATGTTTTCTCTTTATTACTCGCTGCGGCGGGAGAAAAAGCGGCATGAAATCATGCATGTAAAGGATTCGAGCAAGAAAGGGTGAAGGACGGTGACGAAGGAAAGGAACAAAACAGGCGGAGAGGGAAAAGTTCAGTTCATTGGTGAGCAGGCGAGTAGCCAGACCGCCGCTGCTTTGCATCGGAATGTATCTTATTGTTGTCTGGTTTGCACAGTGCCGAACTCTTCTGACAGGTGCCATAAAGTCACCGAGCGAAGTTATGTCCAAACAAGACTTTGCAGGGAATAATAAAATCCTGTGCCTGTGCAAGCGTTTACGAGTGAATCGCCTTTCGACCTCCTTTTTCTACCAAAACTGCCTCTTACCAACGTTCTGTATTTTTCCTCTTAATTCAATAAGATGCAAATGATGGAAACCTTATTAAAATATCACATGGATAATAAAACTCTGTCGATTCCTGTAACATCTATCAATGGCATTGCTTTCTTAAACACATTACGACGAACTTAGATAAAAACTAATTTTGCACAGTTAATTATTATAAACGTCGTATTTCAACGATACGCAAAAACGACGATTTGTTATTTATTTTATACCAACAGAGATTACCTGTTAGTTTTATTCTATTATCAGTGATATTATCGACAAATAATAAGATTATCTATCGATGATTCTATAGTCTCTAACGACTAATAACAATTCTTTCTAATAGGATTAGATCAGTTTAGGAGGCTCTTCTTAATATGTTTACGATATCATTCAATATTTGAGACCAACACCGATCCCTGATATCCACGTGTATATTTTCTTTTAGACTCGCAATTCATTTTAGTCGTAGCAAATTATTCTCATTTCTTATGTCATTATGGTTATTCAAGTACTTTTCCTTCCCTCTTTATTGCTCTCTATAGTTTTATAAGGCTCCGTTCTAAGAACGAAGAGTGAGATCTTCCTTCTCGGAAGATAAATTCCATTTTATTGTTCCCTTTTCTCGGTGTTCTTTCCTGCTCGTTCCTAGTCGCTTGATCTTTCAACCGTTACATTATCCTTCTTCCAGGGATAACAGATCCTGACCGTGTACGTATTCTGCGAATCGCTTTGTACCTCATCCGAGCTCGCTTTCATTGTCTTTACCCCTACTACGTGCTTTTAGGTGCTTTTTCTCTCCCCAGTAATTGATTTTGTTATTGTTACTCTCAGCAATGATCGATTCAGAAGGCGTAAGAAGAAAGAATGGTACGTTTTATCGTGTTCTGTGACGATAAGACACCTTTATTAGACCTTTATCAGACACAAAAATGACGCGATTTGAAAGTTCAAGCATTAGTCATTGGAGAAAAATGTTGCCTCGTGTGCCTTTTGGTCCGAAATTTAGTGCGTTCGCGCAGTTTGTTCAAAAGTGTGTTAATCGGTCCGAGCATCGTGCAAATATAGACAGCTCTCACATTTTAACGGAGTCAAAGATCTTTTTTAACAGGCCAGCGCCTTTGTACGGATGCACTGCATACATTCTCTTTATCATCGGCAATTATCGACCGCCCCAACGTAATGTTCGATAACCGGTCCATAACACGAGCGTGTATTCGATTAACATTAATACTAGCCATTAAGGCGATCGGTGCTCACAGAAGGTAATAATTTGAAAGTATAAAGAACGAAAATTATTCGTTTCAAATAATTCTATAAATTCTTTATTTTACGTATCTTTGCGCATTTAAATATTTCCCTTTATTTGGTATGCTTGCGTAAATTTGGAATTTTTTTCAAAATGCACGGATACTGGTTTGAGGTAATTTGCATAAATCTACAGATCAAAAAATTCACAAGAATCTATTAATTAGTCGATGAAATGTCATGACATGTCATCATAACTTGGAAGATAAAACATTTAGCAAATGATGTATCTAGTAAGTGATATATAATATACGTAAATTCTATCAAATATCTTTTAATTTCTGTATGTATTCTCTTTGTCTCAATCTATACCAATACAATCATAATAGTCAAATCTCACAACACTGTTAATGACACGAACTTTTGATGAATTCTTTTTCGGTATATTTCATACGATAGGTTCGCGAAATATGCCTATAAGTGTCCGAATACTTTCGTGAGCCACTGTATGCGGCGCTCGCGAGTTTTTCGTGGCGTGAAACACTCGTACACGAGCGTGTGTCGCAGAAGGCACAATTTTTCGCCGGTGCCTCTCAACTCGAATGTCCAGCATTGCATGGATTCAAGAAGAAAAGGAGAGAAAGAAACGTAGAGGTGAAAAGAAAGAAAGAAAAAAAAAAGGAAACATCGGGAGGCAATCGCAAGATCGTTCCAGGAAGTTCATCGACCGAGACGCGATCTGCCTGGCTGTGAGAGAGAACAAAAAATTATAAAAAGAGGGAATACAGACAGTGCAAGCAAGGAAGAGAGCCAAAGAAGAGGGAAAAGAAGGAATAGAGAGTAGAGAGGGGCGAGAGGGACAAGACGAAGGAGGGGGAAAGTATCGTTTTCTGCGTATTCCTTCGAAGAAGTCGTAATAAAGCCTGCAACTTCGTACATAAGATCAGCGATTGCGAAAGAGCTTGCCAGACTTTTTTTTAAACACGGCGTCACCATCCCTTCGAGAACCTCACGCGATCTGTTCCGATCGTTTCGCCGACTAATTGTCCAGAATGTCTGCGATCAAATCACAAAGGTTTCTGCAACTTCCACCGGCTTGACGCGATATTAATTAATGGAACTATGTTTGGAGATCGATCTGCTTTCGAAGGAACCGAAAGCTACGCGTGATAATTTCTGTGGAGATTTTGGTATTAGGAACATTATAACTTGCAACGTGATTCTCGAAGAAATTGACAATTAATTTATTATTTGATTATTAGAGACATTTTTATAATTGACACGGTATATACGACAGCCATCGTGATATTTTCTTTTCATTTTTGTTTCTTCGTCGGAATATACGAGAAGAAAACAACATTAACTTCAAACGTGCAAAATTAAAATATATTGAAAATAAAAGATAAACGATCAGCGTGCTGTGCGAAACAATTTTCACAAAATCAGGGAAATTTTTCAAACTTTCCGTAGGCTTTTTCTCTCTCGGAGTATCTTGCGGGAGAGTCCTTTCTCGTAGCTGATCGCTCTTTCGATTAGCAACGTCGTTTGCCAGCAGCACGCGAGCAATGTGTTACAA